GGATTTGTTGAATTTGGACGAGTCAATGGTATGTATGTTCGATAAATGATTCAATGTTATTTATTATGTCTCTTACTTCTTCTCAGTATTGACATGGTTGCTTTCTCTCGTATAATAATGAGAGACTTTTGTTGGCTGTTTAAATTCGGATAATTATATTTATGCACATGATGTCATCAACACATTCTTTTCTTTTTCTTGCGTCTTATAGGAAATTTGGCATTGTCTCGTGCTCTTGGTGACTTTGAATTTAAGCAAAATCCAAAATTAAAAGCCGATGAACAAATCGTAACAGGTGAAAATCTATATTTAATTTATACTTACTATTTTATTCCCTATCTTTTAATTTATATAATTAATTTTACTTTATTTTATTTATTTAAGCATATCCTGATGTTAAAAGAGTAGAAATTATACCTGATTCTACAGAGTTTTTAGTCCTAGCGTGTGATGGTAAAATTCAGTTCTTAATTTATTTTATTTTATAAAAAAAATTCATAAGATTAATATATATATATATATATATATTTTTTTTTTTTTTTTAATACCTTAAAAAGGTATATGGGATTGTCTTTCGTCACAACACGTTGTCAGCTTTATTCGTAAAAATCTTTCCGAACATAAAGACCTCAGAAAAGCTTGTGAAGATTTGATGGAACGCTGTTTAGCTAAAGATAGTGAACTTGGTGGTATTGGTTGTGATAATATGACCGTAATCGTTGTCGGATTTCTCCATAAAAGATCTGAAAAGGACTGGTATGAATGGATGGCAAAAAGATATGGTGAAAAAGGCCCTGAATATCCACAAGATGATGCCAGACCACCAAAGGAAGAACATAGTTTAAACGGTGGTGACAATATTGATGAAGATATGGGTCTTACACCAGAACCAAATGAAGAACTTACACTTGACAATACTAGAGTCGATAGTAATGAGAGTATTAAGAGTACTGATTCAAATCGAAGTGATAGCGTTGATAGTATCTCTAGTGATTCAAGCAGTAACCCTGGTACTCCTAGTATTGAGGGTTATCGTTCTCCTCCACCAAATACAGCGCAACCTAGAGGTCCTGATACAGCATCGCGATCGAAACCTCCTACTTCATCATGACATTACTATATAGTTTGGGTTTGGAAATTGTTATTTCCATTTCCCTTGGGATTTTAATATGTCTATATTGTTAACGATTGTAAAAATTAAAAACAACTCCAAGTTTTTACATCAATGCTATAAATTATTAAAACTTTATTTTTTATTTTCAAATTAAGAATTTAAGGGGGATTTAGCCACTAAGTAGGATTCATTGAATAAAAATGATATATTACAGTAGGTTTAGTGGTTATATTAAATACAGTATATGCACAACAAAACGAAAGTTTATTTACTTAACATTCAAAATAAATTTCGATTCGTAAATAATAACCCTTTTAATCCAGTCTCCCTTGAAATTCTAGTAGCTTTATAATTCTTGGAAAAATATGTAAGGATCAGCGATCTGTAGATTTTGTGATTTTCTGCATATTCCTTAAATGATTCTGTAAGTGTTAAGGATGGATTGGTCCTTAAAAGACAATCTTGAAACCAAAACTATCTAAACTACGAATCAGATTTCAAGATCAGGTGTAACGTAACATGATCAGGAAAATTAAAACAAACGTTCGCTTTGCTTATTTCTCGAAAATCTGTATAATAAACCAGCTTTAGTACTCTAACAAAATGTTTTCCTTGAGCGATTTTACTATATAATCACGAACTTTTAACCTTATTTCTAGATGCTAAGCATAAGCATAACATTAAAGAACTTTAAATTTCCGCTGCGCTACAAGTTTTGTAAATGTTTTGTAATATCTCAATCAATAACGATAACGATAAGTAAGTCATCGATATCAGAAACTTATCGATTCGGTCCTAGACAATATTTCATCATACTGCACCAGGAATTTTCCGGGCACGCGACTGACGATCCTTCTCCGGAATAACACTCATAGGAAGAATATTCGTATGATTGGTCAATTTCTATAATTTATAAATTATTAAATATACGAATGAATCATATATTTAAAGAATAGCTATATTCTTGTAAAGTGGAGTAAAAGTGGTATTTATTGTGATTAAACTCGAGCTTATCAATAAAATATACAGTCTATAACCCAACGCTCATTACGATCAGTTGAACTATAGTATATGTGAGTAGCATTACCCACAATTTTTGGCCGGAATTACACAGGGACCCGCGTGCGATATATTCATATGGGCTAAACGGATGCATTTTCATTAGCGTGATATTTTCGAATTGCATATTAATTTTTTTAAATGAAATTATATACTTTTATAAAAAGAATAAATGTAATTCAATTTGCTAGATCCAAAAAGAAACAAATTTTTTATTCTAGATTGTCACAATTTTCATCAGATTTTATCACGTGGTTGCTTTGTAATTATTACACGACAGGGTGAAACCCGCGTCGGAGGTGGTTACGTTATTGATGCACATCACTGCCTAAATGACATATCTGCATCAAGAAAAGTAACCTAAAAAACGCGAGTTTCACCCTTTTCGTATCCACACTGATCTACAAAATCAACGCGGGTTTCACCCTGTCCTATTATTATTAGCGCATAAAAAAAATTGCACTCATTTCGTCCTACGATTATTGTTCTCGATATGGTTTAGTACGAAAATCTTATGCTTTTTATAGACATTTTTAAGTAAGCTTGAGTCGCTTTTTCCCAAATTGTTATAGCATTGTTACACGGGAAATAAAACATTTTATAAGAGTTCTATCACTTAATGTACGTGCAGAACCTAATTATTAATATATAAGCAGGGTGAGAGATATTAAAGTATCATAATTGTAAAAAAATGGGTAATACATAAGGGAGGGTCGGGTATTCTGGCGCACCTAAGAGTGCTAATAGTAAAAATTTTCAGGGAAAGCTTAGTTATTCCTAAGATTTATTGAAATAAACTAAGACACAATTTACTACCTGTCAGTAAAACAAAAAAAGCTTGTACTATAAAAAAAAATTTTTTTTTAGAACTCCTAAAATCTATCGAAAAACTGTTATGTTTTTTCTTAGCCGGAGGTATTATGGCGCACTACGAATATTAATAGATTTACATACTGCAGCATACTGCATAAATTTATTCTTGATATATATATATAAGTATAACATTAATTACATCAAAAAAGTAACCTAATCCGAATATTACATATAACACATGATAAAAGATTATCTGCCGTTAACACTTTTTACCCTTCTTATGCAAACATTCTTCTTTTTTTTGTTCCATTTCAGCCTTTTTTTGTGCTTTCGTTACTTCCTGTTCAGCTCGTTTCTGAGCAGCTTCTTCTTTTCTACGTTTTGTGCTTTCTGCCTTGTCCTTTGCTAATTCGTCCATTTCTTTTAATGCTTGTATAGATTCCTCATTAGTAAGAAGTCGAGCAAAAGGCAAGGTTTTTCTTTTTTTTGATCGTTGGAGCTCTGATTTATTTGCTTGTGGAATTCGGGAAGCAGGATATTTAAGAGCTAATTTTAGTGAGCAGGTACCGGGATTTTTGAAGGTTTCAAGTTTCTCTTTTAATATTTTATTGTCATTTTGTAGAGAAGCTATTTTTTCTTTTAATAGTTCATTTTCTATTGCAGTATTAGCCTGAATAATAGAATCATTTTGTTGAGAAGATGAAATAGAGGAATAATAGTTTGGTTGAGATAACAAAGAGGAACAATGAGTTGATTGTGAAGATAATATAGAGGAATCATGGACGGGTTGAAATGATATAGAGGAATAATAGATGGGTTGAAACGGTATAGAGAAATAATGAACGGGTTGAGATGATTGAGATAATGTAGAGGAATAATGGGTGGGTTGAGACGATATAGATGAATAATTGATGTGTTGAGACGGTATAGAGAAATAATGAATGGGTTGAGATGATTGAGATAATGTAGAGAAATATAGATTTTGTTGAGAAGATGGTGTGGATGAATGTAAATTTAATTGGTCGGTTGGTCGGGATGAAGGTAAAAAATCAGTTCGTTCTGTAGATATAGAGGGTGCAAGACGATCCGGATCAATAGCATTAGGATTTAACGGCCAAATACCAGTAACTCTAAAAGCGTTAGTAATCGCTTCAGGTGTATAGGTTTTTATATATGCTAGACCAAACATTCTGGCGAACGTGTGTTTGGTTACTAATTCACCACTTTCACTATGAAGCTTATTGCAGGCTTTGCTGTATTCGGTTTTTAGTTTGAAAAAAGGGAGTTCTGACGGCTGAAGGATGTGAGTTGTATGTGGAGGTAGGGCATATAAAAGAATTCCATTTTCATGGCAAAAATTGATACTTGTATAATTTATATGGCTCGAGTGGCCATCGAGCATTAGAAGAACTGGGCGCCGAGAAGAAATAGAACTAACAAAATGCTCGATATACATTTGGAATATATCTTCTTTCATATACCCTGAGTCAGTAAAGCCCATAATGGTGCTAGCCGGGGCACCGTCTAATAAATTAGGGATTGTGCGAATACCCTTATAAATAATTAAGGGTGGTATATAGCCGCCAGTAGCTGAAATAGTCGGGGCAACGGAAATATGTTCGTGTGAGTTTCTGTGTGAAACTTTATATATTTGGTGGGATCCTTTAGTAGCGATAACTTTTTGTATCTTGGGAGCTATTACAAAGCCAGTTTCATCCATATTTCAGATTTGGTCAGCGGTAAGTGAATGTTCTTCTATTATTTTACAGAGTTTATCGAAGTGATCTTTAACAATAATTGG